TATTATGCATAATAAACTAACCATTTTTTTTACAGAATGCTTTTAGGCCAGTCCTCCATAACCCTCTTTCCTCCAAAATTATCTTCATTCCTTTTGGTTTTCCACACAATTTTTCTACATGAAAATCATCTGGGAATACCATTTGTTGAACTTTACCATCAAAAATAGTATCCCTCATAGTTGGCTGCCCCCCTGCAGGGTTTAGATTCATTGTAAATGCATTCAATGCATCATCTGCCACTTTAGTATGACTTGATGAATGATCAAATGCAAATACTGCAATACTATTAGGATGTGTTGGTTCAAAAATTGGTATGGCCTTGTTAACAATCTAAAATAATAAATTTAGTTAATTATTGATTATCTTTATCTTGATATTGATCTTTTTTTCTTACTTGATCTATTAGCTGTTCAAGATTCCACCAGCCATCTGCATTCTTTCCAGGACATATGATGACTTGAGCATCATGAGGAAAGTTCTCTTCAACCTCTAATTTTTGTTCATCTGATAATTTAAGTCTACCAATTGTTTCAGTTAAAAAGTCACTTACATGCATTGTTCTCCCTTGACCTTTCTTTCTCAGTGGTTGTTCATTCCTTGGTCTCCAGCCTGTTTTTTCATCATCATTAGATTGGAATGTTGTTTCATCCTGTGTTACTAATACATGTATCTTTTCATCTTCTTCCAATTCAGGGTTAATTTGAATTTCCAAATCATCACCAGTAAATTTAGGCATCAATTTCTGGTAACTATTGTGTCATTATGATAAATCTAATTAATTAATTGTATATATAAAACAAGAATAAAATTAAAATTACCCTTCAATGACTTCTAAAAATTTCTTTCTATATTCAACAACATCTTCACGCTCATGTCCATCAACATAAACTCCTTTTGCAAATTTAGAATAAACAAATCCCATCTTTTTGAGCCATCTTTTTGCTGTACTGGCACTAATGTAAGCAAGCATTTATATAATTAACTTTATATTATAAATTATAAATAAAAATATTTTATAAAAAATATTACCTTATACTTGTTTTATTTTCAATTCCAATTATTGGTAAGATCTCATCAGATACATAATCACAAAATTTAGAATTTGTTATATCAAACTTTATTTATTCTTAAATATGAAATAATTTTGGATCTCACATCCTCATCATCTAATATACTGCTTCCAATTAAATGTTGCCCATGTCTAGATTTAGGAACATCACCATATTCTAAAAAAGTCTTTGACCAGCTTCTTATACATCTTGAAAACCACTTGCCTTTCTTCATAAGATCAGAAACTATTTCACTGGCTTCAATTTTTGCATATCCTTTATTTCTTAAACTAAGGTATTTTTGAACAGCTTTCAAATGTACTCTATATCCTGGAGACAAATTTTCTGCACTTAATTTTAATTCAATTTTGTTTATAGCTAAGCTTGAGTAATTTTCCTTTTCATGATTAACTTCATCATCAACTGTATTATTAAAAGAAAAGAAACTATCTAATGTTTGTCCATTTTTTTCAGCATCTTTCTTTGCTTCAATTTTTTTTCTGTATTTAGTTGTTCTAGAACTACCTAAATAAACCAAAGGGCGATTAGATGATGATGATGATGATGATATCACATTTTCTATATTATTTGACAAAACATCATAAAGGGACTCAGCATTTTTTTCAATTTCATTATCAAACCACTCAAAATCCTCATCAATTTCAATTTCTAAATATCCTCCAACTTCATTACTTGAATCTCCTTCAACCACATTATTTGATAATTCCTCAACACCTAAATTCTCTACATCATTATCATTATTGAAAGCTTCAATATTTACTAAATTATTTTTATTTGATGTTTTGATTTTCTTAGCAGCTGCAAGTTCTTTACATAATTTAATTTTTCTTTTAAGTTTTGGCATTGCTTTGTATATATATAAAAAAATATGAAGGTTTATTATTTATTGAAGAATGTACAAACTTTAATTTACATGATTTTAAATTTACGCAATTTTTATAGGTCACATGTTGTGACCGGAATTAGAAAATTTTGCCATGTATAACATAAGTTGGGCCAAAACTATATGTTTCAAATTTGGAAAATTTTATATGTAACATATAAAAATCACATGATTTTTAAAAGCTAATAACTCCAGAACCAATAATTTTTTTAAAAATATCCAGACGATAGATTGTAGAACTAGTCAAAAGCTATCAAATATCATCTCTAATTTTTTCAGACAAGCACACAATATTTTCTTTATAGGTTTTAAAGTTGGTCAATTTTTATTTGATGTGTTAGTGTGACCCGCACTATACTATATATATATATATATGCTACTAAGGATAACTTTTTGGTGGTGGCAAAGCATCTTTCTTTTTTCATTTAATATATAGTAGATCATACCGTTGATTTGTTTATTTTACTTTTATAAGAAAAGCATCATTCTGTTATTAAAACCATTTTACAATTTACAAATTATCATTTGTCCTGTTTTTTTGGAGAGTACCATTGATTTAGAAAAGTATTATGTGTTTAATTAATTAATTATTTGTTTATTATATACTAAAAATGCTAAAAAACATTTTTACTATTATTATCATATGTCCTATTTTTTTGGATCATTGATTTGTTTTACTTTTAAGAAAAGTATTATGAATTTACAATTGAATTTATTATTCGGTTACTTCTTAATTAATTGACAATTGAATTTATTATTTGTTTATTACTAAAAGCTTTGATCATGTCTATACATTCATTTTGCAAAGCTGAATTGCAAGCTTTATAGATCTCAATTTTAACACTTCGATCAAACCCGCTTATATAATTATTGAATAATTGATAAAATGTTCATTTTGCAAACTTGATTTGTGAGTTCATAGATCTTGACTTTAACACTTACTTCAATCAAACCCGCCTATATGATTATTGAATAATTGATAAACATTTGTTTTGCAAGCTTCATAGATCTTGTCTAACACTTACTTCAATCAAATCCACCTATGTGATTATTTAATAATTGATAAAATGTTCATTAAATATATTCTACAAACAGATTCATAGATCTCGACTTTAACACTTACTTTGGTCAAACCCTCCTATATAATTATTGAATAATTGATAAACATTTGTTTGCAAAACTTGATTTGCAAACTTCTAAGATCTTGTATTTAACACTTACTTTGATTGCGTCTATACAAACTATTGAATAATTAACAAATATTCATCAGTATATCTTACAAACTTCTTTGGAAGCTTTGTACATTGTCACACATCTTGTATTTAACAGTTACTTTCACAAACTTGCAACCTATCGTCAACTCTATTTTTTTCAATTGAATTTTTATTTTTTAGATTACACAATAAAAATTATGGAATAGAATTTGTCCAATGAAATGTTGTAAACTGTATAAATCTCATGCACAACTTGAAAAAAGTTGGTATATAACGACTCATTTTTCCATTACTAGTACTCATCTTGGGGTACAATTAAGGTTGCTTGCCAAAACTCATCCAGAAATCAATCAGCAGGTTTCGGCAGGTTGCACATTAATTGTTGTAGAAGAAATTGATGAATTAATATAAATGCATTTTTTGGAAAATCACGTGATAAAAATTAAAAATGTCATTTTTGTAATGAAAGTGATAAAAAAAATTTTTGCTTTTTTTTTTGAATTTGAAACATTTTGCACAGAATTTGATGTGTTAGAGTGACCCACACTGTACTAGCTAATTCTTCATGTGTTTCTATCCAAGTATGATTATGTAAATATTTTGGTGGAGGGATTTCGATTTCATCTTTATCAAAATTTTCCACAAATGTACCACATACCTCTCTGATATTAAGTGGTGCATTCATTTTCATATGACATACTGACTCCATAAAAGTATGTTTAAGATTTGCAGACAAATTTTGTATTAAATCTGATTCACAGCTATTCTTTAATGGAGATGCGTAGACAATAGAATCATTTATATGTTGAGACCCACCACGTGTAAATTTTTTGTTCGATTTATACAAAAATCCCATATGAGCCTGCAATTTCATGATACGGTTCTAATGATATAAAAAGTACATTAATATGATGTTAAAAGTAATAATCAAACTAAATGATAATATTTGTCACCTTAAATTTGATCATTGTTTGAATGATATTGGATAGATTCTCTAGATCCAGTGGTGTATCAGGGATCGTAAATCCATTAAATTGATCAATGAGATATATCCCATCCACCCAATGCATCGAATACATAAAAAATTCTTTTCCTAAAATTATTAAAGTATATTTAAGATTAATAAACATTATGCAAAAAAATTTAATAAGCTAGATTATTACATACTATATACAAGTAATCCAAAAGTTTCCAAATCTTCGAGACCTGGAGCCTTTTCAGGCAATGATTTTCGAAGGTTAAAAAGAGCCAATTGCATAGCTATAGATAAAAATAATCATATTAGTGATTTTAACAAAAATAATTAAAGTTCTATTGAGATTATGTTTTTTACCTTTAAGCATTTTTTCTTTATCATCATTATATTTTTTGTCATCACGTTTGAAAGCATTTCCAATTACCTCCCCAAATGCTACTTGAACTAACTTGCTTCCAACTTTCATGACTAGAACAGCATCATAATACCAAGTTCCAAGAGTTGATTTATGTTGATCCAAATTTCTTGATAGGTCCAGTTGTTTTTTTCGGTCCGTATTTTCAACTTCACCTCTGATTAGAAATAAATACACATAAATATAAAACCTTCTTAGAAAGTCAACCTAAAATGAAATTACTTACGTCTTCATTATGGCTATGGCATTTACATCAAAGAAAAGTCCCTCCCAAATATAATTTATAATCCGGCTTCTATACACATATTCAGATGCATCCGGATCACATAGAGGGCTGAATGGTGTCTGAAGACACAATATACTATCAATTATATGTATTAGTATATTAGTTAAATGAAAAATTATAGAATATGTTTAAAGCTTCTTACAAAGCATTATATACTGATTGTACCCATCGAAGATGATAGTCTCTTTCGAACAGATACAAATGCTGATCTTCAAACGGGCTTTTAGAAATGATGCCTTCGACTTTATTTAAGTCAACATAACATTTGATGGTGGCATCTTTTATACACTTGCTATATTTCTCTAAAAGTACTTTTACGTTTTCATCAATCTGGGGAAGAGAATCCGCGATCCTTTTTTCAACCTAAAAATAATATCCACGTTAAAATAAAAGTAAAACCAACTAAAAATAAATAAAAAATAAAACCTTTTCCCAGTTCGATTCCATTATTGACCACTCTTCGTTGGTAAATAAGCGCTTAATTGGACTATGAATATTATCTTCTGGTAAAAATAAAATCCGATATCTCGCAATGCCACTTTTACTTTTAGCAAGCTTTCCGATAGCCAAATTTAACGAAGTCTAAAACGCAGGTAAATGATTATTAGATAACAGACAATGATGGAGTATAAAAAAAATAGAGATTCCGGACCTCAAATAAAGACAGCTCCTGACAATACATGTTATCCACATCCTGTTCAAAATCTGTATCATGTACAAAATGTTGATCAATTTTTACATTTTTTGGAATATTATTATTGTCATCCTAAAGATCAAAATTATAGTTAATTTCGGAAAACTACAAAATAATAATTATTAAAAATATATTAGACCTCAGCTGGTGTCAGCTCCTCATCTTCATATGCTGGGATTTCTTTCCTTTTGTGATTGTTAGTAGTGAGGTCAATAGCAATGTCTCTATGGAAATCCACTACTGTAATAGTATGTTCTTGCAAATTTTTTGACTGCACCATAAATAGGGATTAGTAAATTTCAAAAAAACGTAAATGATTAATAAAAAGATACCTTTATCTCGGCAAGTCGTATAGCTTCATTGCTTTTTATCTGCGCCAGTCGAGTAGTTTCCTCTTCCTTCGTTTTCCTCAGATCTTGCAAAGATTTAAAATAATCGCTCTTATTCTTAGCTAATTTCCAGGACTACAAAAATTTCATAGTAAAATAAACTTTAAATTTATTCATTACAATACGAATGATTATTATTTACATATAAAAGCTGTAGCGAACTAACAGTTCAACACCCAGACGACTAACAGTCCCATAATGTGCTACAGGAAACTTGAAACTAAAGACATTCTTGAACCATAGCGAACTAACAGTTCAACACCCGGACGACTAACAGTCCCGTAATGTGCTAATGGTTCAAGCCAAATGAAAACCAATACTTGCCTCTAGCTTTGTATACATACGATCGGCCTTCCTTTTGGCAACTTCCGAGACAGTGTCATTGCTCATATCTTGAATAGCCTTTTTCATGGCATCCAAAAGTTTTTTCTTATCACATGTAACATTAAAGGCACACCACTTGCTCAAACCATCGAGAGACCAACTTTCTAGAGGAGTTTCAGCGAAAAATCCAGCCATCGTTTTATAAATTCGTGTAACTGATTAAGGGGGGAAAAAAGGATAGCAAAACGAAAAATTTTTCCACAGAAGAATAATAATAATAATAATAAGGTAATTTGTCGAATTTGGTTAATTACATCATTATTTTGTTGCACAGCCCCATTAAATGCGTACAACATATCGATTATCTGATTGATTATGCGGAAGGATTATCAAACTTGAATTTCTTCTAAATCATTTATATACTTGAAAAAAGTAGATCAAGGTTAGGGGAAGATCTCAAAGCGAAAAATATTGGTATTATAATTGATAATTACTTTTAATCAAGTATAAAGCGTAATATTTATTAAAAAATATATAAATTCATATATTAAAAACATATATATATATTTTAATTTTTTGTTTTGCCGGCACCTGCGTTTTCTGTGAAGCCAGATCCTCCAGCATCCCTGAATACCAATTGTAAATGTACCCCTTCTACTGTATGTTCTTCTGGTTGACCCGGATTTTCAAAGACATTACTGAGAGATATTTTTTCGTTTCCGAATCAAAATTATTTACCTCTAAATATCTGCATAGTTCTACATAATCAAAAATTGCTTTCACATCTTGCGTATTCTTATTTATGATAGTTATCCTGGTTTAAAAATTGCATATACTGTGTAGGGTTATCAGTGAATCTACCTTGAGTTTTTCGTCTGCTATTTTTAGATTTGCGAGACATATTAATATCTTATGTATAATGACGTATTATATCAAAGTATTGAGACACATTCAAATTTTTTTTCTCGTCAAAAGTGATCGGCGTAAAGATTCTTTATGCACACGTGATTTTGATGAAAATAAAGCATGGACATCCATCCACATAATTCGATTGAGACAAATGGTTACATAGAACCTTACTTTATTGATATATAAAAAATGTTACCCGAAATAACAACATAAAAATAAAAAAAAAATCATATCGAAGTTACATACTGCAGACGTAAATAAAAAAATAATTATTATGTGTCAGAGACACTAGCTCCGCTATTCCTTTGGTTTTATGAGAAGGTTAACTTGATTTAGGTTGGTGACTGGAGTAGCATTGAAATATTTAGAAACCTCGGCTGTCGATTCCATAGGAATAATTGCGTAGAGATTGAAATTAATAGAAAGCTCTTGGTGACCTTGATTTACCAACAGACCTTCAATCCCTTTTTTAAGTGTGGCAACCTTATCTTCCTTACATATTTCAATATTAAAATATTTACCATCTGGAAAACAACACTTGAGACTAATAGGATTGGTCATTTTGCGTTTCCTAATATAAAGTTCTATAATAAGTAAAAATTCATTTACAATGGATAGAGCTCTTATTGCAAATAACGCATAATGAACACCAGCAAACCAAACACGTTACCTTATAAAAATTGCGGGAAGATAAAAAATTATGCTTCAAAAATCTGGTTTATTTATAGCGGAGGCACATAGTTTCATTTGTTACCTGAAAACCTGTTAGAAGAAAAATTTACATGATTAGTAATTACGTTACCCCAACCATTTGCCAGATCCTTTCTTCGTAAAGCAATTCTATTAGAATCACAAGCGCCAAGAACTGAATATATTTCGCCTTTTATGGGGAAATTAAACCTTCCAGTCTGGCGATCTCTCATTCAAAGTGTAAAATAAGACAAATTTTGGCGATCTCGGATCTCAAGTTCCATAACATATAAATTTTGATGTTATTACTGATAAAGAACAATAAACTCTCCTCTTTTTGAGTCTTATTTGTATTTTTTCTTATCGGTAAAGCTATATACAATAAGGAAAAGGCTTTATTAATTCCATAATCTATAAATATAGTGAGAAAATAATTTAGCAGTATCACAAATTAGTCTTGTGGAACATTCAACTATATATCTCGATTTTTTACCATTTATTTATTATCAATATATTCTCACATATTCGCTCAAACCCCATAATCGCTTACAAAATACGATAAAATGATCAGAATTTTGTATTGAATTATAATATATATTATTAGCAAAAACCTTCATGATTAATCAATAAGTCCCAAGTTGTAAAGTTCTTTTCGGATAGTCTCTTGAGGGTCTTTGTCATCATACCAAATATAAAATAAATAAATATTGTTCTCTTCGCAAAGTTCTTTTTTGAGCTGATCTCGTGCTAACATTTTATTAAACCCTTCTGGGGTTCGATGAAAATGTCTAATATAATGTTTATGTTGTTTTCCTTGCACTTCTATCGCGAATCCAAATTCTGGATAATAAATATCAAGTTCTAATCCTGTTGGATGTTCCAATGTTTTAAGAAAATCGGGCCTGCGTATAGAAGATGGTGGTCCAAGATATTTGGAAACAATTCCATGACATATTTTTTCACGTTTATATTTACAACAGAATGGACACCATGAATTTTGATTTTTTACAATAGAAAAACGGGCATTCCATTCGTGACCTTTGCTACAACGCCATAATAATGGCAAATTAGCATTGATAAATTTTTTGGAAAGGCATTCTCCATTTCTATCACATGCAATTTTTCTAGTATCCTCAAGAGTAAGTCTAACTCCACCAAAGCCCGCACAATATGGACACCAGGTTTTTTTATATACTACACTAGTAAAACAAGCATTCCATTCATGTCCTATGGCACAACGCCATAATAATGGTGACTTGCCATTGATAAATTTATCTGAAAGGCATGATCCACCACGGACTTTGGCAATAATACAAGCATCATTCAAGGATAATTTTAATCGCATTGAGAATTGGTAAAATTTTATGTAAATGAATTTCTATTCAAATTCACACAAAAAATGAAAGGCATTATTCTAGAGTATAAAACCCTAAATACACTATAACTCGTTAAATCATATACACTTATAACATACTATATAAATAGGTCATATAAATGGATAATTTTAGCGAATTAATGGCTCATTCTGGTTCTAAATGTAGTAATGATGAATGGACTGAATATTGCCAGATGCCTCAAGTTCGCACCAATGAAACTCCTGGTGAGTGGAAAGAACGAATTTGGACTCGTTTGCAGTATTTCAGAGATTACGACCTTTTACCTACTGGAGGGGGTGAAAAATATCTTGAAGCGAGAAGATTGACCCAAGTCCCATCTGGGAATTTATATGCTCCTACAATAGGGATGGCTATCTGTTTCTCTTGCAATCAACTAGTATATACTGGGGAAATGACCATAAATATGGGAAATAACTATAATCATATTGGAATGGAAAAACATTGGGCCTCCCATTGTACTGGAAATAAATACTGTGGTGTGAGTTATGAAGAATACCAAAAAATCACACAAAAACATAAATCTGCATGTAAATACGATGACAGTTATGCATTACGTCGCTATGAATTGTGGATGACAAATGCAATTAGAAGGGTCGAACGTGCTAGATGTGTTGGGAAAAAGATTAGAGCATGTATTAAAATACAAAGGAAGGTTGTGGAGTGGATTTATCGCCCAGATGGATTGACGGCGATTGAACTCGCTTTGCATTATGCGTGCTTACAGAATATTCGAGCAGAAATGCGTCAAGTTAGCAATTTATAACATATCAATTATTTATTTATTTAATGTTTCGATATCCCTTGAGGGCTGGTATCTTTTATTTATTCAATGTTTCGATACCCCTTGAGGGCTGGTATCTTTTTTTTTGTACCAAATTCCTATGTAAACCGAAAATAGTTACTTTATTAGATTTTGCAACATCTAGGTTTCATGTCATCAAACTAATTTGGCTAAGTTCATAGAACATCTGCATCGTGCAAATATGGTCAGTTGATGTCTTGTGCGACTATATGCAGGGATCCCTAAAATTGGATTAACCGCACATGG